TTGTTTAAATATGTGGCAAGAAGCAGTTAATGTCGTGACACCAGACATGTGGAAAAATTCAATCAAACACACTGAAGGTGAAATAATGAAATGGTATGAAAGAGAAAAAATGTTAATGCAAGATATACTGCCAATTTAGGGGAAGATAGTGACAGTGACACAGAAGATTCTTGTTAATTTGCAAATTAAGTAATTTGTATTTATTTAATTGTAAGATTATAAAATAATTACATATTATAAAAGTGACTTATTACTGCAAAATACTATCCCCTGGCTTTGATGGTCAAGTATGACGTAAATAATTTACATGAAGCCTTTAAACCATGTAGAAAAGTTAATTAATGAATTTATCGAAATTGCTGTCGGTTCTTAACTTCCCGGTATGTAGTACAAAGTGTTAATCCTTACATAAAGCTCCAACATTAAAAAGTCGATCGCCTGTAAGCAATTGATAATCGTTACATTCCTGTACACGTAGATATCTTGTACTTCATGACAACTGAATATAGAGTTAAGATTTGTAACGTATATAGGTTGTCTGGTGGGTTTATTTTTGTATAATTTTCTTGTGTTAATGTTTATTTGATTCAAGTTTTGAAGATTGTAGGTTGTAGATTCATTATGAGTAGGTACTGGGTGGGGTACTAGGTACTATAAAAAAACGTGTGGTTTTATGGCGGCAATTTAAAGATAATTTCAGGTACGTAAAAGCGATTCTAAAATTGTTGATACTATTTTTTTTTAGTACACTTTATTCCGTATAACTTCCGTTGCACGTCATCATTTTCTGTGACGTAATTACTATGCAATAATGCCAAATCTAGTTTTGAGCGATTTAGGTTATGTCACTTGTCAACAAGACAGTGCATTCTTTGTGTGAACAATCCACACCTTAAATAAAATAAAAATAATTTTTATTATTCATTTCGTTAATTGGAACCACAATATACATACAATATACTTTAATAACTTATGAACTGTACAAATGTAACATCTCTTTTACAGAGAAAGTACTAAATATAAAATTTTACAGGTTATGTGATGTGATGGATGATATTCAAATTAATCGGAATCATCGGAACTGCTTTCGTGTTCAAAGTTTATAATAATAGTAGCAACGTTTTCAAGATCTAATTGCTTTTCTCTTTCGTACCACTTGTGTATTACAGTTTCCGTATCCTTAACTGAATTGCGCCACGTTTCGGAAGTTATCGTTGTAGTGTTTCTGTTTATGCAATTTCAATGCTTCGTCCATCTCTACCCATGTGTCGATTGTAGTAATTTTTCGCTATGCCCCAAATATGTTCGATAGGATTAAAAACGCGATGATAGGGTGGTAATCGTAAAACGAAGTAACCGTAATGCTCGGCTAAGTGGTCAATGCGTTATGCGGTACATTTTAGCTGATTTATTCCTAAAAGTATCAACAAGATTTAGATAATACCAAATAATTTGCGAACGTACTTACTGTGCAACCTTTTCAACAGTTCGGCTTTAAAATCATTTTCGGAGAACTGCACATTATGATCACCTAACCACACTTTAATGTTGTCTGTTTGCCCGTTATCGAACACAATTACTGACGGGTTATCTAAATTCTTCAGTAATTTCTCTTCAAACCAATGCACAGCGAAAGACGTAGAAAATAATCAAAATCAGATCAAACGAAAAGTAAGCCAAAAGCAACCTGTCAAATTTACAAATTTAAACGCGACAACATAGCGAAATGCTACCAATTGTTGCGGCCAAAATAAACTACAAGCTTAATGTGTTGCCTAATAAACGAAAGTAAGTTTACGTTGGTACGTCGTTTTCTTCAGGTAATGACGTGCAACGGAAGATATACTGAATAGACCGTACGGTCTATTCAGTATATCTTCCGTTGCACGTCATTACCTGAAGAAAACGACGTACCAACGTAAACTTACTTTCGTTTGTTAGGCAACACATTAAGCATGTAGTTTATTTTGCCGCAACAATTGGTAGCATTTCGCCACATTTCGCTATGTTGTCGCGTTTAAATTTGTAAATCTGACAGTTGCTTTTGGTTTACTTTTCGTTTGATTTGATTTTGATTATTTTCTACGTCTTTCGCTGTGCATTGGTTTGAACAAAAATTTATGTGGTTAATGATCATGTTCATGTGGTACGAGTATTATACAGGATGCTATATACAGAGCGGTTTTTGGGAGTTTAATAGAGTTTTCGATTGGCAAAACTCGTACTGCACGAGTGTTGCACGAGAAACTGAAGAAATCCATGTGAAAATTGCTCTCAATGGAACATAAATATTCGTAAATATATGTTGTCATTTGTCCATAACCTCATTTTAGATTTAGGTAATCGACAAATCTCTATTCTAAAAAATGACAAACGATTTCAGTATTATTTATGATAAACGATGAGGAATATAAATTTGAAATTCCTGTAAAGGACCAATTTTTGGCGTTCAGTTTAATGAGTAAGTGCAACTTTTTGTAAAATAGAAGTTATGGCTAGTTCATCATCTTCGCTATCGCTAGATGACGACAAAAAACTCTCCCAACGCAAGAAACAAATTCAAATTGTCGCACGTTTGTTTTGAAAATTTGTTACTAGCAGCTCCACGAGCTCTCGGACCTCGTGCGTCGAATTTTGCACTGAGTGCGTAATTGTTGCATCACATTTGCCAATGGAACACAGAAAATTGCCCTAAAATTACCAATAGAACGTAAAAATTGCATTCGTGCAGCAAGAGTTTTTTGCCAATCAAAAACGCTATTAGTTCGAACATTGTACAGGTACGAATGGTTCTAAGGCTTTGTGAAAACAATATTAAAGTCACTAGATATAAATATATCTAATAACTAATTACTTAGCAATATAATTACGGACATGCGTTCGCCAACGTACGAGCGGGCCCTACTCACAAGACTGTAGGGGATTTTTTCAAATATGTAGGTCGCCGGTTACGTAGTGCAACTGCATCCACTGACCTCTATTTTGCTTAGGTCAGATGAGTGCATCCCATGTTCTTAAGTTTTAAAAATTTGCTGAAATCTGGCTTGACATGGAGCAAAATGAACAATAAGTTGCAAGAAAAATAAATTGCGAAAGGCATGCGCAGTTCAAAGCCAGCTCATCAATTTCTGCAAGAGACATAAATCTTGATTTTGTATCACCTTCCTAGTCAAATACAGCGGCGACAACTATGAAAGGGACGCACCTTGATTAACTTTTTTAATTAGCCTTATGTATTTTTGTAATTTTTATGTTTCTTCAAGCAAACAAAATTTAATTTTTATTTGAGGTGAGCAATTTTATTGGCAAATCCATTTGATCGTCTGTTGGCTGGCATGTGACAATTGAAACCGAATTTCACCATTTTATTCTATTATTATACTAGAAGAGCTGGTAGACATCTGTTTGCTGTTTAAGAATGACCACCGGATGGCATTCCCTCCAAAGCCTAACCGAATATCGCTTAAATTTGAAATCAAAAAGTGACACATGATCAAACATCTAGCACAGCCCCCTTACATTAGTTGCAAACCATGACCTGAAGAACGGTGGGGAACGAACGCAAAATGAGACACTATGATGACGTAATAGAATAATTCGTATTTTGTAAATGAAAATGTTGTAGGTTTATTATTATTATTAGTTTGCCTTTATTTTCGAGTGGGCGGGGTTTCAGCTAAGGCTGTTCTACCAACCGAACCCACTATATACATTTTTACAAATATCCATGCCATATACTATTGTTAATAAAGCATGACAAAAGGAATGGTTGGAGGTACAAGCAAGTAACAAAACATAACTGTACAACATGTGACAATTATACATGTCCTTGGAGGGAAAATTCCACGTTAACAATAAAATATGTGGAAATTATGAATTACACCTCATATATATCGCACATATTATAGATTCTAAACCGCAAAGTTTTTGTTAGCAGGGCTCCACTCTTGCGACGGGTAGCGATTGGCCCTCGTTCGACAATTCAAAGCATATATTTGAAATTCTAGATCATAATCACACCCTTAGATGTCTAAGCTCTACACGCCAAAAAGTGTTACTTTACTTACACGAAGTCTATACATACATCAAACAATTTGATAATTTCCAAAAATTTAAAAGAATGACCAAAAATATAAATTCGGGCCA